TTGTTACTCTCACTTTTAGCTTCTTGTACATGCAACTGTTCTAGTTTATCCTTGGAAGGTGTACCAATAGAGTCAGAGTCTTTCCGATTCTTCTCAGCTGCTGATGGTAGCTTTTTCCAGGATGACATCCTATATATGCTTGTAGATGAATCAATACTTACGGCAGTGTCCGGATCAGAATTTCCAGCACTACTACTAAAATTTTGATCTAAATCTTGCTTCACTATGAGACTGGCTTGATCCTTCCCAACTAACTTCAGCTGCTTCTCAATCTCTTCCTTCCCAGGCAATGGACCATCAAATTCAAGTTGTTCAAGCTGCCTAATTTTCTCTGGATAAATTCCTAGATCACTAAGTTGGTGAAGACCCAAAACATGATCATCTTCATAACCACTCTCCTTTCTGAACTGTATAAGCCGAGTACATCGTGTCAAGATGAAAAGAAGGCGGGTGTGGGCTTGCTTAAGAATTCCCAATGACAGCTCCTGGCGCCGGTCGTCTAAATTCTGGACAATACCTTCACCCTTCGTCCAGAACTCACTTGGTGACATTGTGGCGCATTTCCGAGCAACCACCAATAAATCCTCCAAACCCTCTTTAAGTTCAGGTTGAGACTCGTCTGTCTTTTCAAGTATATCTACTAGGTCTCCAGCAAATATGCCCAGTTCGTAATTAACATCATCCTTCAATCTGTCAAATTTTGCTCTGATTGCCACCATGATCTCCTGAAAAGTTAAGCAAGCACAAGGTAGGTTCAAATAGCGAGAGAGAGAGAAAACAGCCATTAGCGCAAAGGCGAACTAGAAGGAAGAGCATACTTCCAAATGTCCAAATGCCCGAGGCTTCCAAACTGGAAAAGGCCGAACTCCTTTTGAATTGAGCTCGTGGGAGAAGCTTTTGATGTCTGGGGTTCTCTTCTTTCTTCCACTAGTAACACGCAGTATTGCACGGAATCGTGGAGACTGGATTTCCTTTGCGAATGCAGCATGATTAACCTACACATGCAAACATACATCGCTGAACAAACTACATTACAAATTAGCTACTCCATCAGTCGTACGCAATTTATAACGGCAAAAATCAGATACAGATGTAAACAAAAACCAAACCAAGCAATAAAACACGAATCATTACCTCAAAATCATGATTCAATGCGGAGGGATATCTTAATGATTTCGATTGACTGCACAAAACTTTTTTCCCTATGAAACAAAATAGGAACGAGCCATCAATCAACTAAATAACGATCGTCACACTTACAGAGCCACGCACGAAAACAAAAACGGAGTCGGGAGAAGGAAAAA